TCTGTGTAGGATGAAAAGTTCTGTAGATATCTGTTAGATCCATTTGGGCTATAGTGTTGTTTAAATCTACTGTCTCCTTGTTGTTCTTCTGTCCTGTTGATCTATTTCTGAGAGTGGAGTATTGAAGTCCCCCAGTACTATTGTATTGGAGTCTAAGTCTCCCTTTAAGTCCATTAACAAATCTATTAAATAAACCGGTGCCCTGTAATTAGGTGCATGTACATTGATAATCATTATATCTTCCTGTTGAATTGATCCCTTAATCATTATATAGTGCCCCTCTTTGTCTCCCCTAACAGTTTTTGTGGTAAAGTTTATGTTGTCTGATATTAACATGGCTACGCCCACTCTTTTTTCATTTCTGATGGCATGCTATATCTTTTTCCAGCCTTTCACTTTCAGTCTGTATGCATCTTTGTTGGAAAGATATGTTTCTTGTAAGCAGCAAATAGATGGGTTTTGTTCCTTTACCCAATCATCCAATCTGTGTCTTTTAACTGGACAGTTTGGCCATTAATTTTCAATGTGATTATTGATAAGTGGTAAGTTTGCCCTGCCATTTGCCAAAGATATTTTCTAATATATGCTTTGAATTCCCTGTGATAATTTGCTGTGAGGTTTCCTTCCTTTACCTTCTTTCATACTGATGACCGTGTTTCTGTGTTTCTGAGTGTAACACATCTTTAAGCATCTTTTGCAGGGCTGGAAGAGTGGCGACAAATTCTTTCAATTTCTGTTTGCTATGAAAGGTCTTTATTTCACCTTCATTCACAAATGAGAGCTTAGCAGGATATAATATTCTGGGCTGGCAGTTGTTCTCTCTTAGTACCTGGGCTATATCTCGCCATTCCCTCCTAGCTTGTAGGGTTTCTGATGAGAAGTCTGCTGTGAGTCTGATTGGAGATCCTCTGAGAGTAATCTGACGTTTCTCTCTTGCATATTTTAGGATCTTTTCTTTATGTTTCACTGTGGAGAGTTTAATTACAACGTGTCGTGGTGAGGATCTCTTTTGGTCATGTTTATTAGGGGTTCTATGAGCTTCCTGTACTAGGATGTCTCTGACCTTCTCCAAACCTGCGAAATTTTCTGCTAATATCTCACTAAAAGGCCTTCTAATCCTTTCTCCCTCTCCATGCCTTCAGGAACTCCTAGAACCCGAATGTTGGTTTTATAAATAGTATCCTGTAGATTCCCCACAATATTTTTTAGATTTCTAATTTCCTCTTCTTTTCTTTGGTTTGACTGTATATTTTCCTGTGCTCTGTCTTGTAAGTCTGATATTCTCTCTTCCGCTTCACCCATTCTGTTTTTAAGGCTCTCTAATATGTTCGTCATTTGATCTATTGAATTCTTCATTTCATTATGATTTCTCATCACTATCACTGTTTCATGTTCTACTAGTTTCATTTCATTTGATTCCTCCTTAATATTTCATTTTCGCAAGAAAGATTTTCTATCTTGTCCATTAAGGATTTCTGTAGTTTGAGAATTTGTTTTTGAGAACTTAATGTTCTTATCAATATTTTGAGATCTGCTTCTTGCATTTCTTCTATCTCATCATCTTCATAATCTTGAACTAGGGTGTCTTTTTCATTTGGGGGCGTCATAGTGTCTTCCTTGTTCATATTACCTCAGTTTTTCGTTTGTTGTTTGGCACATTGGAGATATTCTTTTGTTTCTTCACTGTGGTGTTTTTTCTTGTTATACTATGACTCTAGAGTAAGTGGACTGTCTGTTTTTGATGGAGCCTTAGAGGCTTGAGATGGGTGTGGCCAGAGAGCTCTGTTTGGTTCCTCAGGGTTAAGGGTATGTCAAAGGTGACACTCCCAGGTGAGGCGTGGTAAATCTCTCTCTCTTTGTTTCTTTTTTTGATTCAAAAGGGAAGTAATTCTGCACAGCTGATCAGAATTGGAGGTAGTTAGCAGGCAAGTGATATACCCACAGTAGCCAGAGATCAGAAGCTCTTTCCCAAGGACCACACAGGGAATCTTTTCTGCCCTCAGTGTGGGCTCAAAATCTCCTGCAATCTCCCACTGGGTTGCCAAGGTTACCGAATTTTAGCGTCTCTCGAGAGTACTCATGTGAATTCCGTGAGTTCTCTCCCCCACCTTCTCTTTTTTCACAGTCTCAGTTCAGTAGCACCACACATTCACTAAGTCCTAATCTGTGAATTCATTCCCCCCACCCCCAATGTCAGGTTTTTCTACTAGGCTCAGGTACGGTGCAGACCTGAGGTTGCCCTGCTTATGACGTATGTCCAATATGGTGCCTGCTCTTTGTCTTGCTCGCCTTTGAGAGGTGAGTGGAGAGAGAGAAACTCGTGTCCGTACCCGTCACTTTCTCTCTCTCTCTCTCTCTCTCTCTCTTCTAGTTAGCCTGGTGAACTTTTCCCCACTGGGTCGTTCCCTTTAGTCTCCTCTTTCTGTTTGCCTGCCGGTGTCTCGGGCTATTGAGTTTCGGCTCACCTCGCGTTCCAGCGCTGGTGTGTTGAGTCTGCCACTGGTGTCCCAAACTGTGGGCTCCCATGCTCTCCACGCAGGTCCACTGTGAATCACTCATTCCAGAAGAGTTTCTTCTGCTGTTTCTTCCCCTACTCTTCCTTGAACCTGCAGTATCTCCACTTTTATTAAACTGTCTCTCCCTGGACTATCAGTGTGCTCCCTTCCTATTCTGCCATCTTGCCCCTATTTTATTTGTATTGCCTGTGTATCTGGTCTTAATCTAAGAAGTCTGTGCCTATGCTAATGTTTTACAGAATATCTTTGATATTTTCTTCTAGTAATTTGATAGCATAAGATTGATCATAGATTTAGATCCTTGACCCATTTTGAATTCACTTTTGTATAAGATTTAAGATAAGGGTCTTGCTTCATACTTCTGCATGTGTAGATCTAATTTTGCCAGCATGCTTTTTAAAAAGGCCGTCTTTTCTCCAAGGACTGATTTTAGCTCATTTATCAAAAATGAGTTTGTTGTTTCACATGGACTAATTTCTGTGATTTCTATTCTGTCCTGTTAGTCTACATGTCTATTTTTGTGCCCATACCAGCCTGTCTTGATCATAACTGCCCTGTAGTATGTCTACCTCTGGCTTTGTTTTTGTTATTTTACGTTGCTTTAGCTGATGGACCAAGAACATAAGGTTCAGCCATTGTAGGTTCTTGCCAGAAAGCAGATAAAAGCCAATTTTATCCCTTATCTCTGCCTTCTTTCCAGAGACCAGTTCAGTCTCACATTCCACCGCTACATTCTTTTTCAGGCTTGAAAGCCCGCAGGCTACCTGAAAAACCTGTGTAGAGAATCTCATCTCCCTCTATTGCCCCCACCCCACCTTCAGACACTTAACCCACTCTAAGATATATAAGGCCCAGTCCACTGAGGACTGTACCCTCTGCCATGTGTTTGGTTGTGTGCATGCCAGCAGTTGGTCACCCAGCTCTGTGAATTTATTTTTCTTGAATGCATTCATTCCGGTTTGAATTCATATCCTACCTCCTCTGTTTTCTGTGTCCCTTTTGCTTACATTATATTCAGGTTTCTTGTATTTCAATATGAATTTTAGCATCACTTTCTAGATCTGAGAGGAATGTCATTGATATTTTGATTGTTATTTCATTGATTCTATAAATTGCTTTCAGTAGTATGAAAATTTTGATGATTTTAGTTCCTCCAATCCATGAACACAGAGAATTTTTTTTCATTATTTTATGTCTTTTTCTGTTTCTTTCTTTAATGTTTTGTAATTTTCATTGTACATATCTTTTACCTCCTGGTTTAAATTTATTCCGAAGTATTTAAAAAATTTTGTAGCTATTGTGATTGGGATTGATCTTAAAAGCCATGGCATTGTTGGTGTATACAGATTCTATTCATTTCTGTGTGTTGATTTTATACCATGCAACGTTACCCAACTCTCTTATGAGTTTCAGTAGACTATTAATGGAGTTTTGTTTTGTTCTGTTTTGTTTTGCCTATATATAGGATACTGCCATCTGCAAATGAATAATTTGATTTACTCCTGTCCAATTTGTATCCATTTGATTTCTTTTTCTTGTCTAATGGCTCTGGCTAAAATGTTCAAAGCTATATGTGATAGCAATAATGAAAGTGGGCATCCTTGTCTGGTCCCCATCTTACTGGACATGCTTACAGCATTTCCCCATTCAATATGATGCTGGCTGTGGGTTTGTCATGTATTGCCTAGATTATGTTGAGGAATATTCCTCTATACCCGATTTGCCTAAGGTTTTTATTTTGAAAAGATAGGATGTTGTCTTTTATTGAATTCTTTGTCACCATCTGTTGAGAAAAATACATAATTTGTATTCTTCAATTTGTTAATGAGATTTTATCATATTTATTTATTGGGGTGTGTGTGTGTTGAACCATCCCTACATACCAGGGATAAATCTCACTTGATCCCTGTAAGTGAGCTTTCTGATGTGCTGTTTGAGTTGATTAGATAGTATTTTCTTGAGAATTTCTGCAATTAAGTTCATCAGTGATATTTGTCTACAGTTCTGTTTCTTTTTGTATCTTTTTCTGGGTTTGTAATAAAGCTGATGCTGGCCTAAGAGAAACAGTTTGAGAGGTTTCCCTCCCTTACAATTGTTTTCAATATTTTGTGAATTGTAATTAATTTTTTAAAAGTTCAGTAGAATTCATCAGTGAAGCCATCTAGCCCCAGACTTTTCTTTTTTGGGATCGTATTTATAACGGATTCAATCTCCATATCGGTTATTGGTTGATTTAGGTGTTCTATGTCTTCATGACTCTATTTTTGTAGACTGTATGCATGCAGATATCTATTCATACCAATTTGTTGACTATAGAGCTTTTTGTAGTAATTCCCAATGAATCATCTTATTCCTGTGCTATCTTTTGTAACATCTCCTTAATCATATCTAATTTTATTAATTTGGGTCTTATTTTTTGATTAGTTAGGCCATGGTACATTTTGTTTATGTTTTCATGAAAAACAGCTCTTCATTTCACTGATCTTTTACACTTTTGTTTCATTTTTATTTATTTTTTCTCTAATTTTATTATTACTTTAAAAGGCAGTAACATGACTATCATTTTACAGAATGCAGGTATTACATTATTTTACTGGAAAATAAAAAGATACACTACATATTCTTGGAGGGAGCTACCCTCTCTATATTTCAAGGCTATGTGTTACATAATCTTCTGGGAAAAGTAGGTTGGAATCAGTGCTTCTGTTTATCAATTTTCCAGAATGCTTCTAAAGCATGGAGATAGCCACCATGTCAACAGGTTAAATGAACATGAATCTGCAGCATGTGTTCTCTGCTTTAGCTGAACTCATCCATGAAAATAACCCCAGAGAAATGGGTTCTGATGTGTCAGACTTGTCCTAAGTTCTTGATACAAGGATCGTCACATACCCTCAGGATTACATCAGCATGTGGAAGAAGGAAGAGCCAAGAAGAAATGAAAGATGTTCTAGTCTTCACTGAACACTATCGGGAGTATGTTCTTGTCCTAAACTTCTTATTACCAGGTGCCAAAAAAGGAAAATTAAGGATGAATGTTTGACACAGAGATTATGATACTACGATACTACTTGAAATACCAACGTCCCTTATCAGAATGCTTGGGTTCGAGACCTGACTTCACTGGATTCTAGCTTCCTGCTAATGTGTAACCTGATAGGCAGCAAGAGCAAGTGAGTTGCTGCCACTCAAATGAGAGAACTGGATTGAGTTCCAAGCTCTTGATTTGTCCTGGCCTGATCCCAAGAGTTGTGGACATATGGGTATGAATCGCTGCGTGGGACATCTCTCTCTCTCTCTCTCTCTCTCCCTCTCTCTTTCTGTCACTACCTTTCTCTCTCTCCTCTCTTTCTATCTCTACCTCCACCTCTAACTCTATTTCTATCATCTCTCTGACTTCAAATACATGAAAAGATAAACAGCAATTGAGGAGTTCTTGGGAAAACTGACATCACGCAAGTGTGCAGCTGAACTCTGGAGTTGAGCAATTTTGAATATGCCCACCTTAGTACACACAGACCTTGTGAACTAAATGGCAGTTATATTGCTCTAAAACAATTCACTAGCCTCTCCAAGAGTTTTCTGCAAAAGTTCCCCTTGATTCCTGAAACTCAAATCAAACTTTTTTACATGATCTTTAATCAGCAATCACAATTACTGAAAGCAGGAAATGTGATTCACCACCACTCCCCTTGTAGTTTGGGCTAAAAAATCAGACACTATTTTCTGAAACCTTGGGCACATTTTGAAGGCTGATTGGATTCTATGTCTCAAGGATTGCAGCCTAAGTAAATGCAATTATTCTTTGTTCTTAACAAGATGCTGGTAAACATCTCATGGAATTTAAGCTAATCTGCTTATATTTTTTAAAATTTTATTTATCTTATACAAGTTTCATGTCCTTCATATATCCAGGTTTAGGAACATAATGACACTTTTCCTATTCTCCTCCCTCCCACCCACGCTGCAACTCTTCCTCCTCCTACCTCTCACATTCCTACTTTTAATTTTTACAAAGATCTAGTCCAGGCTTACTTAAAGATAGGTTAGTTAACCCTATAAAGAGTTCATCAAATTGTATGAAGAGAAAAAAATGCTGTTCCTCAACAGAAAACACAAGGTCTGTAGAACATCCTCAAATCTACACCGGGTTCTAGTCCCAGTCGGGGCGCCGGATTCTGTCCCGGTTGTCCCTCTTCCAAGCCAGCCCTCTGCTGTGGCCAGGGAGTGCAGTGGAGGATGGCCCAGGTGCTTGGGCCCTGCACCCCATGGGAGACCAGGAAAAGCACCTGGCTCCTGGCTCCTGCCACTGGATCAGCGCGGTGCGCCGGCCGCAGCGCGCCGGCCGCGGCGGCCATTGGAGGGTGAACCAACGGCAAAGGAAGACCTTTCTCTCTGTCTCTCTCTCTCACTGTCCACTCTGCCTGTCAAAAATAAAAAATAAAAAAAAAAATGTCTACTTGACTCTAGTACAGGTACTCTATTAGTTACTTCGCATCAGGGAAATCATATATCTCTGTCTTTTTGGTAACTGGCATTGACCCAACCCTATATTAATAAAAACAACTATCAAAGCTAACAAGTTTCTCTTTACAATCTTTCCCCCTTTGCATATTGTACATATCCAGAAACATTCCAAATCTACTAAAACATTGTGTCATCATTCAAGATCATGAGATACAGTGAATGTAAGGGCTGATCCTAGTCTTCTGTGATAAGAAAAAAAACTACAAATAATGCAGAACATCAGGGAAGTCACAAAGTGCCTCCGTTGTCTCTTTGAGCATCTGGAGGGTACATTAAGCCCCAATTTCTTCACCCAAGAATACACTCCATGAATCAAGGGTGATCAATGTGGGTTTACTTAAAATTCCATCAGGTTGTGAATTTCATGTAATACCATAGTTAAAACCTCTCAAGAATCCTCAGAAACAGCCCTGCTATTTCCCTCAAATTCCTCGCAGGGCAAAAATAGTGATTCGTCTCCCACCTACCCATATTTATATCCCATATCTTTCTTTCCTACACCTCCTGTCATGCAGCTTATAACATCAGTCCCCTAGTCTTGACCACCAGTTTTTAGCTTAGATTCGTTTCAGGTGTTCACTTGTTCCTGTCACCTCCTGCAAGATCTCTTTATTCCTGTTACTTAAATTGGTATGTTGTTGAATAGAAGTGTTAAAATGGACATTATTTGTTATTGAACAACCGGAAATACCTATTCAGTTTTTGACATCAATAATTATGGCAGTAGTGGGTTTTATAATTATGGACTTAATTCAGTTGAGAAAGACTATTTTTCTTTCTCTTTGTTTCAAGTTTTGAACACGAATGAATGTTGAAGTTTTTCAAATGCTTTTTCTGCTTGAATTGAGATATTCTGGAGGTTTTTCCTTCATCTTACTAACGTGTCATAATGATTGACTGATGTTTGTGTGCTGGATAACCCTTATATTACAGGAATGAATCCTATTAGGTCATGATTTATATTCTGTATTATGCCACTGAATTGGCTTGCAGATATTTAGTAGGGAATATATGCATTTGTAGTGAGTAGTATACTTACCTGTATTTTTTCTTTGATCATGTAATGTTGGCTTCGTAGGATGCCTTAGGAATTGTTTCTTCCTTTGCAATTTTGGGGGAGATTTTGAAAAGAATTGATATTAACTCTCCTCTGAATTTCTGGTAGAATTCACTAGTGAAGACTCTGGTTATGGTTTTTTCTTTTTTTGGTTTGAGGGTTGGGGGGTTGTGCTTTGATTTAATATCTTTGCCAGAAAAAGGGGTCTTTTCATGTTTTCTATTTCTTCATTTTCAGACTTCAATATTGTATGTTTCTAGAAATTTGATTATTTGCTCTGGATTATTTAATTGCTGTCATATAATTGTTTATGATGCTCTTTTTTCTATGTACACATTGATCTACTACTTGTTCTAACAATTGCTACAAATTGAATGTTGATATTTCTAGCTAGTATTGTAGTGATCCCTTTTTCTTCTTGCAGTTCTCTCAAGACTTCATAAATACTTCACAAATTTTGGAGCTATGGTATTTGTTGCATATGTTTTTTTACTTAGCTACATGTATCTCAATGGATTGACAAATTTCTCAACATTTAAGGCTTTTATTTCTTGTCACAGTTTTTTTTTTTTTGTTTTTTTTTGTTTTTTTTTTTTTTAATTTTTGACAGGCAGAGTGGACAGTGAGAGAGAGAGACAGAGAGAGAAAGGTCTTCCTTTGCCGTTGGTTCACCCTCCAATGGCCGCCGCTGCAGCCGGCGCACCGCACTGATCCGATGGCAGGAGCCAGGATCCAGGTGCTTTTCCTGGTCTCCCATGGGGTGCAGGGCCCAAGCACCTGGGCCATCCTCCACTGCACTCCCTGGCCATAGCAGAGAGCTGGCCTGGAAGAGGGGCAACCGGGACAGAATCCGGCGCCCCGACCGGGACTAGAACCCGGTGTGCCGGCGCCGCAAGGTGGAGGATTAGCCTATTGAGCCACGGCGCCGGCCCTTGTCACAGTTTTTAAAATAAATTATATTTACTTTGACATTAGTACACCTAACACAGTTCTCTTTTGATTACTAGTTGCATGAACTATCTTTCCATTTCAGGTACAAACTATTGTGGCCTTAGATCTAAAGTGAACCTCTTAAACACCAAGTAGTTGAATCCTGTTGCTGTCTATTCACTCTGTTGTTTTATCTTCCGTTTGATTTATAAGTTCAAGTCACTTACAATTAAAGTAACTACTGATAGTATTAAAGTTGACATTTATTTTTAAACTAGAAAAAAGTGATGAACATAGAGCTGATATTTGTGGCAATTCAGCAAGCCAATATTTTTTTGCTGTTGTTTTGCTTTGTTTTGTTTTGTTTTTCACTTTCTGGACCCCAAAAGCCAAGCAAGATCCCTGGATTTCCTGAAAATCGTAATTGAAGAATCTGACGCTGAGCTCTGGCTCATCAATTCACTATGAAAACTTTTCTTTGATATTCAGGATACGATTATTGAAAGACCAATTATCAATATTTCCAAACATAGATGTGCTCAACTCCATACTAATCACATTTTCCTCAGTCTAAAAATAAATATGAATTTATAAAAATAAATATGAATTCATAAAATTTATCCTCTTAAATGTTTTAAATAGAAAATAAGGCAAACTTACAAATATGTGTGCAAGACACAAAATAGCCTTCTCTTCAACTTCCCCTGTGTCTAATTCCTAGTCAACTAACCAAGTTGGCTCACGTTCACTTCCCTATCCAAATTCAATATGGATGCACTTGAAAAAATCACATTTAGTGAAATAAGTCAGACCCAAAATACAAATACCATATGTTCTCCCTGATCTGTGTCCTAAAAGGCAATCTATAACAGTGAAATTGACACGTTGCAATGTGGTG